CCAGGATAATAACATACATTGTGTAAGAAATAACATACACTGTGTAAGGAATTAAGATATATGTTTTTTACATTAAAACAATAACATACATTGTTTAAGGAATTAAAACTTACATTTTATGGGTTTTCATAACATACATCATGTACGGAATTAAAATTTACATTTTATGGTATTTTTCCTTACACCAAAATAATAACGTACATCATGTAAGTGATTAAAACCTACATTTTATTGGGTTTTCCTTTGCCAGAATAATAACGTACATCATATAAGGAATTTGATATATTTCTGAATATATTTAAAATATGGTAATTTTCAAAACTTACATTGAGTACGTTCATTCCATATTTAAAATTTTATTCCTTACATATTGTAGGTAAATTCTTACATATTCCGTACATTTATTTTCTATAGGGTTGGTTGATTTCTTTAACAACAAAGAAATTAATCATCAATTATTCTTTTTTCTTTGATGGTGAGTTGGTTGATTCCTTTAACAAATAATAAAGAATTAATTATAAATTAATCTCCTTTTTTTGGTGGTGAGTTTGTTGATTCCTTTAACAACAAAGAAATAATTATCAATTATTTTTTTTTTTGGTGGAAGCTTGGTTGATTAGTTTAACAACAAAGAAAGACATGGCTGATTTCTCTTAACAATAAAAAAAATATTTTGTGGCAAAGTATTTTTTTTTTTAGATGTATAAAAAACTTGGTAATAATATGTACACATTCTTTTATCCTAAGAATTGAATAATAAAAATAAAACTCAATAAAATTTATAAATTCATAAAACTGGAATTTATTATTTCTATAGAAGGAGGAAGAAAAGCATTTGAAACTGCAAAAAGATTCTTAGAACAACAAGAATTTGCTACAAAAAAAGATGTTAAATATTTCAGCGAATTAATAAACATATTGACAGAATTTATTGATATTAATATCAGTCGCAGGACATTGCAGATTTACAGGGGGTCAAGTGTCACCCACTAATAAAAATTTTTCGATCAATGTTGAATTTTATATGAAAAAATGAAGAAAAAAATCATGCTTTCATACACAAACTTGCCTGATTTAATCAAATTGTTACTT